ATATATGTACACTATATGCATGCCTGTTGTCCACAGAGCTCAGAAGAGGATATTGGAACCTCTAGAACTAGAGTTAGTTGTGCTTGTGAGCCACTATGTGTGTGCTAGGAACCAAGCCTGGGTCCTGAAAGAAAAAAATGCTCTTTGACTACTGAGCCATCCCTCCAGCCTCAACCAATCAAATTTCTTCTCCTCCACCTCTTGTGTGTGTGTGTGTGTGTGTGTGTGTGTGTGTGTGTGTGTGTGTGTGTGTGTGCGCGCTGAGCATGGTGGTGTAGGCATTAGCATTCAGGAGGCAGTTCAAAGCCATTCTTCTCTACATAGGGACTTTCAGGCTAAGCAGAGATGCATATTGAGACCCTGTCTAATAAATAAATGAGAGAGTGAGAGAATGTGATACAGATTATGCATATATGTGTGTGAAAGAGAGATAGGCACATGCCTGAAGAGACAGAATAAGGCATGGATTTCCAGGACCTAGGATTATATGTGGTTGTGAGCCATTCAGCATGGGTGCTACAAAGCAAATTCTGGTCCTCTGCAATAGCAGCAAATGCTCTTTGTTCCTGAGCAGTCTCTTTACAGTCTACAAGTCAGTTTATTTTGTTTGTTATGTATATATACTGTGCTGCTATGAAAGGTGTGCAACACCACTGCCTAGCTTTTCATCTTCTTCCCTCCTAGGGCACTGCCCTCACCTGCACAAACCCAGACAATGTATACATAATCCTAGTTAGAAATCTGAAAAATAAGCCAGGCATGGTGGCAGACACATTTAATCCTAGCACTCAGGAGGCAATGGCAAGTGGATCTCTGAATTAGAGGACAGCCAGGGCTACACAGAGGAAACCCCCCCCCCGGTCTCTCTCTCTCTCTCTCTCTCTCTCTCTCTCTCTCTCTCTCTCTCTCTCTCTCTCACTCACTCACTCACTCACTCACACACACACACACACACACACACACACACGTCTAAAAAACTATAAAGAAAAGAACTTTGTAAGTACTGGTAAGGTGGTAAGGGTGTAGAGAAATTAAAACCCTTTTACTTTGTTATGGTGGTGCATGCTAGTTCCCCCAGAATTAGAGAAGGGTATGGTGGGCTCACTTATAATCCCAGTACTTTGGAAGCTGAGACAGGAAGATCTAAATTCCAAGCATACTTTGAGCTGCAGATTATCTCAAAACAACCCAGTGTCCATCAGTGGTGAATGAATAATCAGAGTATGTCGTGCACTATTCATCTCTGGAAACAATCAAGCTTTGACACAGATCAATAATCCTATGTATAGGCTGGAGAAATGGCTCAGCAGATAAGAGTACTGGCTGCTCTTCCAGAGGTCCTGAGTTCAATTTCCAGTGATCACATGATGATTCACAACCATATATAATGAGATCTTGTGCCCTCTTCTGGCACAGAGGCAGACATGTAGACAGAACACTGTATATATAATAATTCTGAGAGTAGCAGGAGGAAGATCAGGAATTCAACTTCAGTGATGGTAGCTAGTTTAAGGCTAGCCTTGTCCACATGATGTCCTGCCTCAAAATATAATCAGAGCTGCAGAAATGGCTTAATGGGTAAAGCACTTGCCACACAAGCATGAGGACCTGAATTCAAATACCCAGAACCCACACTAAAGTTGGTTGGGTAGTGCAAGTATCTGTAATTCTAGCTTCCTTGAGGAAGATGAGAGACAGGAACTAAAGACTCTACTGTGGCTACAGGCTAGCTCATCGGTAGCTAGCCTGGCATATGCCACAGGAAAACTACAAAGACCTTGTCTGAAAATGAAAAGCCAGGACCAATGCCTTGGGTTGTCCTCCACATGCATGCCATTTCATGCACATATTCTCGTAAATGCACAGACAGATGCACAGCCACACAAAAGAATGACTGTCAGACATAGAAGTATTGTAGTTAGCCAGGTGTTGGTAGCATGCCTTTAATCCCAACACATGGGATGCAGAGACATGTCAATCTAATGAGTTCAAGGCCAGCTTGGTCTACAGAGTGAGTTCTGGGACAGCCAGGGCTACACAGAAATCCTGTCTCAAAACAACCAAAAAAATAAAGAGAAGTTTTGTAGCTTTCCTTTTTGTTTTGTCATTTCCCTTTTTACATTGGCTGCTAAGAAACTAAGATAAATTTGTGGCCCACTTATAGCCATAGTCATCATGACAGTCTTTGTGGTTTAAAATTATTGTTTTTAAAAAACTCCTTTTCACACCTCAGTGCTTATTTTTAGTCCTAAATTTAGCTTATCATGTCATTTTTGTTTGTTTGAAGATTATTATGTATACAGCTTTCTGCCTGCATGTATCCTTGCAAGCCAGAGGAGGGTACCAGATCTCATTACAGGTGGTTGTGAGCCACCATGTGGTTGCTGGGAATTGAACTTGGAACCTTTGGAAGCCATCTCTCCATCCCTCATGTCATGTTTTAAATGTCTGTATGTGGACAGAATTTTCTGTTTAGCCTGGTCCCACCACACTTCAGTCACAAATAAACACACAGAGGCTTATATTAATTATAAATTCTTTCGCTGATGGCTCAGGCTTCTTACTGGCTAGCTCTCTTAATTATTAACCCAAAACTATTACTCTGTATTTCTACATGGCCTTATCTTACCAGAGAATGCCTGGTATCCTATCTTCCCGGTAGCTATATGGCATCTCTCTAGTGGCTCCTCCCCACCTTCCTCTTCCTAGAATTCTCCTAGTCTGGTGGCCCTGCCTATATGTCCTGCCTGGCTACTGGCCAATCAGCATTTATTCATCAACCATTAAGAGAAACATATTCACAGAATACAGGACATTCCCCCATCTGTATAAGCAAATGAAAATATTTTCTGGAGCCCTAGAAGTGTAGCTCAGTAGTAGAGCACTTTCCTGGTTCTTGTGGGGCCCTGGGTTAGTCACCTGCACCATAAATTTTGTAAAACTAGGTCTGGTAGTGAATTGTAAACATATATGCTTATAAAAAATAGATATATCCATAAGTGTGGCTGTGACAGAGCATCAATATTCTGGGCCAGTAGATTTCAGTGGGAGGATATTTTTGTAGTCAGCATAGGCAGTGTATGGTGTTTTGAACATGCAGGATGCTATTGACACCCTACGTTGAATTAGACAACTCCCCACAACAAAGCCTTACCTAGGTCCAATACTACTGAGGTTCAGGCTAATGAGATGGTCCAGCAGCAGGCAAAGCACTTGCTGCCAAATATGAGTTTGATCCCTGGGATGCACATAGCAGAAAGAAATAGCTGACTCCTGAAAATTGTCCTGTGACTTCCATGTGCATGCTGTAACACCTACACACACACACACACTTGTGATAAATGCCATTTTATTAGATTTTTTTTTTATTTTTATTTTATTTATTTATTTATTTATTTTTTTTTTGAGACAGGATTTCCCTGTAACTTTAGAGCCTGTCATGGAACTAGCTCTTGTAGAACAGTCTGGCCTTGAACTCACAGAGATCTGCCTGTCTCTGTCTCCCGAGTAATGGGATTAAAAGCATACGCCACCATCACCCGACTTATTAGGTCTTTTTTTTTTTTTTTTTTTTTTTATGTGAGTGTTTTGCCTGCATGTATGTATGTGTACCATAAGCATGCTTGGTGCACACAGAGGCCAGAAGAGCACATCAGATCTGGGTTTCGAGTTATAGTTGCTTGTGAACTGCCATGTGGGTGTTGGGAATCTCACCCAAGACCTCTGGAAGAGCACCCAGTACTCATAACCACTGAGTCATTTCTCTCAGCTCTAATTTAAAAAAAAAATTAAAATGTGCCTGGCGGTGGTGGTGCACGCCTTTAATTCCAGCACTAGGGAAGCAGAGTCAGGCATCTGTGAGTTCAAGGCAGTTCCAGGACAGGCTCCAAAGCAACCCTGTCTTGAAAAACTAAAAATGAATAAAAGGGCTGAAGTTGGGAAACCCTGCTATAGACTAGGCCATTCAGTCCATAATTTCCCACAACAGAACTATAGACACATCTTGTCACATAATGACACATGTGCAGGTCCCTCTTTTGTTCTGCTCTATCAGAACACCTGAGACTAATTAGCTCCATCAATGACAGCTGCTTATTCACACTTCTGGAGAATTGGAAGCCCATGATCCAAGTGACAGCAGGGCCTGTATCTCCATAGGCTGTACTGTCTAGAAGCCTTCACACAGCTGAAGAAATTCAGGATGAGCCTCTCAAAACTTCTAATCCCATCCTTGAAGGGGCAGCCCTTGTGACTCATCACAGGGACCCTGACCTTAATAATGTATACAGTGTTCTGTCTGCATGTATCCCTGCAGTCCAGAAGAGGGCACCAGATCTCATTATAGATGACTGTGAGCCATTATAGGATTGCTGGGAAATGAACACAGGACCTCTGGAAGACCAGCTATTGTTGTTACCCACTAAGCCATTTCTCCAGCCCCCCTTTTATTTTTTTTTAAGATATATTTATTGTATTTGCATATACTTATATATATGTGCCTCCTGTGTTTGTTTTGTTTGTTTGTTTGTTTTTTTTAATTAGCTCATAGAGACCCCCCTACCTCTGGCTCTTGGGTGTTTATATTAAAGACATGCACTGTTGTCTGGTTCAGCATGAGTTTTTCAGAAGACATAGGAGTCTCCAGGTTGCTGACTCTAACATGCAATATATATTCTGAGTGGGAGGGTTGAGCACCCTAACGCTACATCTATCATCAGTCAGATACTCCAGAGAACAATATTTCTTTTCCCTCCTGAAATCTACTACTTAATCATAGCATCTGGTTAAGAAAACTCTGCATCTCTATCTGTCCTGGATCTCATTCTGAAGGCTAGGCTGACCTGGAACTCAGAGATCCCCTCCTGGGTGCTGGGATTAAAGGCTTGTCCCCCCACCCCACCCCTGGCTGGAATAGGTGCTTTTTATTTGAACCCCAGAAATTTGAATGTTTGAGTTACAGATAAAATGAGACTGTTCATTCCCCCTCCATCTCTTTGCAGGCATTCATAGAAACCATGTTTGCCAGTAAAGCGCCAACAGATGAAGCCTTTCTTTATGCAAAGGTGAGCTTCACTAGCAGGAAAGGTCCTGTTTGATCAAATGTCTGCTGAATTAATTTCCTGGTTTACAGATGACATACATTGTCTTGCAGGCAGGCAGAGTAGTGACAGCTTATCCTTCTCATTTTACTGTTAACTTACACATCTAAAGCTTGCAGTGTCACACTCAAGCAAAGTGCAGAGCACAGCCAGTGAAAAAAGATTGAACATGTGAAAGGAGACCAGCCCTAACATGTGTAAAGGAAGGAAAGTCTGAGGTGGCACTTAGGTGGAGCCTTCAGGATGTGCAGCATCCCAGCATCCTTTTCCACTCAGCCAGAACGTCTAGGTTGGCAACTATTTGCAAGGCTAAAATTAGCCATTTATAGTATTGTTAAAAATATAAGCCATATTTTGTTGTGAGAAAAGACTTGCATGTGTTTTTTTACTTAGCCTTCTTTATAAATTTTGTCTGTCTTCTTCTGGACTTACTTTGAAAACCATAGGAAGCATAAATTACAGGAGATTAAATAATAAGATTGAGGCCAGATGAATTGGTGCATGTCAGATTGCAGCACTGAGGAAAGGGACACGTGTGGTTCAGGAGTCCGTGGTCGTCCTTCACTATATAGTAAGCTTGGAGTCCTGTCTCAAAAATGCATGTATATGGTAAAGCTGGATGACAGGATTGATATCAGAGGACATTTATAGACTAGAATAAAGTACATCAGGTAAGAGTCAAAGAAATATACTGAGTTAATGGCATAAAACCTTTGGTTAGGTGTGACCAGTGTTCCAGTAGTGACTTACAGTAAATACCTCTGTGGTGGCTGAAGACAGGGCTGGGACAGTTCCATGGAAATTGTAAGAGTCAAACTTTGTTTTTCACAGTTTGAATTTGAATGCCGGGCCCGAGGTGCGAACATCTTAGCCTACCCGCCTGTGGTTGCAGGTGGTAATCGCTCCAACACTTTGCACTATGTGAAGAACAATCAGCTCATCAAGGTAATCAGAGCACCCCTGCAGTCTGCTCCCCAAGGGTCCCCAAGAGAAAACTCACTACCCTTCCCTCACCAATGGAACGTCATTTAAAAAGCACTTCATTATTTCTAAAATGGTTTTACGGATAGTATTTTATTAGTCCTTAGAGTAGCCCTGTTAGGTAAGAATAGTTACTAGAATGCTCACTTAGTGGGTGAAAAAGATAATCACTAAGCATTAGCAAGTCACAGTACATGCACAGGGTCTGAGGCAGGGTCTGATGCTGCGCAGAGCCAAAGGGCAGCCTTCAGAGTGCAGACTGGAAAGCATGTCCGTGGAGCTCTCTGAACTGGAATTTTCTTCTGTGGGCTTACTCAGCCCACTAATTCAGTATCTCCCTTTTTTATGAATTTATTGTGATAGTAATCATGTCTTTGTTTTATCTTTTTTGGTTGGCTGGTCAGAAGTCACAGTAGAATAACTTAGGCTTTGTGACATGATACTCAACAGCTTGAACTCCAAGGCCATTGTAAGGCTAGCCACCTTTCCCACTAAGCTAAACAAAAACTCATTAAAATTAGAACACTACATTTTAATTTTTTATTTAGAAATATCATTTTTTCATAAACATGTGACTTCAGTAATAGAATTTTGGAGGTGGAATTATAGAGACAAGTCTAATCCTGTGGCCCCGGCTGTCTACAAACTCCTAGCCTTAAACTCTCATCCTGTGTCAACCTTCTGAGAGTAGCTGGGACCCCAGGCATATGCAGTATTCTGGTGGGGTTTGTATTGTTGTTTGCGGTGCTAGGAATAAGACTTGGGACCATGGGTGCTCTACCACTGAGCATATAGCGAGAATACAATTGATTTGGGTTTTTTTTGTTTTTTCATTTCATTCAGATTTAATTAGACATCCCATTCTCAGAATTTATTGTAAATGAAAACAAATGGAGTTGCTTGTCTATTCATTTAAAGATGTATTTATTATGTACAGTGCTCTGCCTGTATGTTTTGCCTATATGCCAGAAGAGGGCACCAGATCTCCTTATGGATGGTTTTGAGCCACCATGTGGTTACTGGGAACTGAACTCAGGACCTCTGGAAGAGCAGCCACTAACCACTGAGCCATCTCTCCAGCCCTGCAAATTTTTTTTTAAGATTTTCTTATTTTTATGTCCATTTTTGTTTTGTTTGCATGTATGTCTGTGTGGAAGCATTGACTCCCCAGAACTAGAGTTACAAACAGTTGTGAGCTGCCATGTGAGTGCTAGGAATTGAACTTGGATCTTTGGAAGAACAGCTGATACTCTTAGCCCCTGAGCCATTTCTCCAACTCCACAATGTTATTTTTAAGTGACTTTAATGCTATAAATTTGTTTCTTAATTTCTTAATGTGATAATTGACATTTATGTGTTATTTCCAAATTTACAATGTTATAAACCGTGTTCTTTGGGCATTATTGCCTTTTCCCTTGCA